CAAAACAAAATAATAATAATTTTCATTTGACTATCTGAGATTGACGTAGTTTGGCTAGTCGCTGGTTCGAATACGCCTGCGGTTCAGATTTTCATCTCACCTTCAGTCATCAATCACCCAGTACAAATAATGATTTTGTTGATATGATTATTTGCTTTGTTTTAAACTTTATTATATCAAATAGAGTTTGAAAAGTACAAAACAGTCATGTGGTATAAATTGTTATACACTTATGTGGAAGTACAGTTATATGATTTAATAGACTTATGAACAACAACATCCTTTGATCCTTCAAGTGACTTTATTTGTTTTAAGGTAGCATTCATCACGGACTGATATCAGTAAGAAAACTATTGAAAACCATGGGCATCGGATAGCTGTTTGGTACTAGTGTGAGGCACTTCACCATGAATCATAGTGGGGAACTGCGCATTATCGCACCTCAACCCAGTGGTTACCGAGAGACCTGAAGGTTATGACCCTGATACTTGGTGGTAGGATAGTAAGTGCGTACTGCTGAGGAGTCCTATGCAAGGACGAAACAGCTGTCCAATGATCACCAATTTTCTAGCGGTCTCCTACTGATCTCAATCCGTGATGAATACTAACTTGAAGCTAATGAATTCTCCGTCAACCTCAAAATAAATAAACTTTATTTCTTAGGTCGTATTTTATGCGGTTGTATTTATGAAATAAGTTGTAATTCACCTAATTTTCGGGCTCCTTTCTAGTTTACTTCATTATTCGTATACTTAGTCTACATCATTATTTTCTTGCATATGAAAGAAATCAGCTATTACTGTTGCAAATTATTGTAAAACTTAACGTCCAAGTTTCAGTGACACTTTTTATTCAGCTAACAGTTCCTTTTATTGTTGAACTAAGCGAGTCATACAGTTATAATGTTACCAGTTAGGTAGTTATAAATAAATTATATAAGATAAATTATTATTATTAATACTTTTGAAATGTAATACGACTGATAACACTTATTTAAGGAGATTCATCCAGTTTGTCGTTCGTAGAAAAGTGAAAGATGATGACAATGCGCGTCCAAATCGGTACACACCTCCACCTGACTTTCAACTAACACAACGTACGTGTTTCATGTTGAAACTAACCTGATATAGACAAATGCAGAGTACAGTGAAATTCTATTCTTATATATCCTAGTTTAGTTACACACATGTGAATATATATTCAATCATTCATTCTGAAATCACCTGTGATAACATGAATGAGGGAATTATTCTTCATGTGTAAAAGCTTGAAACATATAATTTTACACTTCCTACCTGTCACTATATTGTCATTTTAGTCTAGTACAATTGGTTCATTTACTGATTACTAACACCCATCAAAAATATCATGTCTCCCTTTGAAATAACTAACTATGCAGTCAGTCAGTTAAGTATTGTCTAAACTGCTTTTGTAACTACTACTAATTGATTAGAATATTCATTACACTGTGAATGTTTGACACCTGGAAACTAGGGATTTTAATATGTAAGATAGCAATAATTTTCCACCTTGTGACCGCTGATATACAATACAACAAGACGAATATGTCAGTCAGATTGAAATCATTGTCAAGATCCCTTGTTCACCAAGGTTTCATCCTTGTTGTCACTCGTTAGCAAGGTATATCTGCAACCTGAATGCAATTGATGTTCCACCTGAGATTCAAATCCATATCATCCAGTTCTGTAGTCAGAGGAGTTACCACTGAACTATTTTGCTCCACGACTGAACTCCTGTAGGATTAGATTGTGTGCATTAAGGATAAGAATTAGTTTCTATTTGTATTCAGAAAACTAATAATCGTTTTTCTAAAAATTCTAACTACATCTGTGTACTTTAAAAGCCTTTTCAGGGATCATACACAACGTCCGTACTTTATTATTATTATTTGTTCCTTGGGTTCCTAGTGGAACATAAGGCACGTCTCCATTTCACTCTCTTCTCTCCAGTCTTTTCAACTTAGCTCCACCACTGCCCACAAGATTTCATTTCTTCCTCACATCATATCCTCACATGTTACCCTCACCTGGGATGCTCAACTCGTCGTTTCCCATGCGGGTTCCACTTCATGGCTTCGCCTGGCTTGGTGCCTGATCTCCTCAAATGGTCTTCTCAGTGTATGTCCAATCCAATCCATCTCCACTTTCTTCTTCTGCACATTCGTTGGGTGATAGGTTGGTTGGTTGATTAGTTCGTTGCCAGTCAGCCAGACTTCCTTGTTACTTAGTTCTGTTATTCTGGCCATCTGATCGATCTTCAGTATCGAGTGAGTGTAGGCGGCAACTCTTGATGACGTATGTCTGCAGTTTGTTGGAAATGCTTTTCGTAACGTGCCGCCAAGTCTCTCAACCATCACACAGAAGCACTGACTTTCTTGACTGAATTAGTGTTGAAAATCTGGATCTTGTTCACGCTTTATGCTGAGTGTAGTGGAGTAGATCTTCACACTGATTTCAGATTAGTGTAGGTCTGTCTTGCTGTGTTTCCGATCCTGGCTGTCTTTGACATCGTCATCTGTGCCCGTGTGGCTTGTAGTTGAAAGGATGCTGCCTAGGTATGCAGGTGAAAGAGACAACTTTCTTAGACTTCTCCCGTTGATGATGGTGATTGGTGCTTGTTGTTGCGTCTTTACTTATTGAGCAAAACTGAATTAACTAGTTATGTTTTGCAAACAGGAACACTTTGCCTATTAGGATCAAGATGAAACTTAACTAAAATGGAAGTAATACCTACTGTATAAATTTATGACGATTTGATACTTCTATGGTAAGCATTATTTGCAAACAACTAATAGTTACCACTTCTTCATAAGAAGACCTTACAACCCATGCAATTGTTAGCAAGTTTAATTATCAAAAATTTTCCGACGAAGAACTTCTACTTTTATCAGTTTTTATTATCTGTGGATAAAATCAATATGTAGATCACTTGAAGATGTTGGTTAACTTTTCTGTTTCTTCTTAATATCCATCTAAAAGAATGAAGCATTATATTCAAGAATACCTTTCTAGTTTGTAGATGTAATGTGAAGTAGTTAACTGAAGCTAATTGGTCAACAATGTAATAAAATAAAAGACAAGATATATTATAACACCTTCGATCATCCTTTTTAAGCATCATGTAGAATATCTTTGAAATTGGATAGATTCACTTTCCTTATCCATTGTTATCAAAACTATTATCACATTCTACAGAAAGAAAGTACTGATGACCATGAATTTTTTTCAAAACTCAGTTACAGACATGTATTATTCCATATAGACAGTCTCGCAGATTATTCTAGTAAAAGCTTATCATTTTTTTTGTGGTATAGACAGACTATAAAATAGTCTGTCTATATCACTATCGTTTTGTCTGTCCAATGGTTATTAGTGTCCTGAAAAATACCTTATTTAATGAATTGATTTTCTAATCTTAGTAAGGTGAATAATTGTCGACATTTGATGTTTTCTGGGGAATGTTTCTGCTACAGTGTTAGATACTATGGTTGATGAAGTTAGAAATTTGAACTACTTCCATCTGTATTATAGCTTATCTGTTTATTTTCCGTGAGAAATATAACACATTTGAAACAATATGCCTAATCCCATGCAAAAGGTATAAACAACAATAGGTATAATGTCTACTGATATTTCGATATCCTTTGATAAGAAAGAACCCATAGAGGAGACACTTCATAGGACACTTGTAAACTACCGTTGGACCTCAAATTCAAGGGAGATAATATAGTATAGTCCCTTGGGTTCCTAGGAACATAGGGCTTCAGTAGCACGCCTCCAGTGACCTCTGTTCTCTGGATCTTTGAACCTGGTTCCACGACAGCCCAGAAGCTCTCATTTCCTCCTCGCACGACCTCCTCCATGTCACCTTCGGACGTCCAACTCGTCGCTTCCATGGGGATTCACTCGAGGCCTGACGCGTGATGTCTCAGTCGGCCTTCTCAGTGTATGCCCAATCCATCTCCACTTCTTCCTGCATATTGTTGCGTGATAGGTTCTTGGTTGGTTCGTTCCCAGAGTTCCTTGTTGCTTATTTTTTCTGGCCATCTGATCTTCAGCAGCGAGCGTAAGCAGTTGTTGATGATGTCTGTAGTTTATTGGAAATGCCTTTCGTGACGCGCCAAGTCTCTGAGCCATACAAGAGCACTGACTTGACGTGTGTTGAAAATCCGTATCTTGTTCCCATGCTGAGTGCAGAAGATCTCCACACTGGTTTCAGCTAATGAAGCCTGTCTTGCTTTTCCGATTCTGACTTTGACGTCCTCGTCCGTCCCGCCTGTAGTTGAAACAGTGCTTCCTAGATAAGTGAAGGAGGTTACTTCCTTCAAGTTTCTCCGTTGACGGTGATTGGAGTTTGTTGTTTGTTGATGGTGGTGGTGCGGTCTTCATCACTTCTGTCTCTCTATATTCACTGAAGTCCCGTCTTGCTGCCTCTCTGTCAACTTGTTAGTTTTGCCTGGATATCCTTAAGAAGCAACTATCAAGATCCATAAACAGGATACTTTATGCTGTCAATCTTAGAATCATAATCCCCCGTCAGAAACTCATTCACTAGTACGCGAAGTATAAGCTGGAGCATTGAGTCACATAAATATGTATATACCAGTTTACTTGTTCTTCTGGAGCCCAGTACGTCGGCCATACCATGTGCCAGCTCTCACAAACACTACTCTACCTGGTCTACAAGGGGAGGAAGGAAAAACAATTTCAGTTCTACAACAGAACACTAAAAAAGCTGAAGATACTTGACTCCTTTTAATATGTCCTTCGAAATTGCTAATTACTCTTTCATAAATGTCTAGATATATTGCGTAACTTCCTTCTTTTAAGTAATCTACTTTTCGGTTTTAACTGGAAGATATTCTCGAATGTTCTATCGTTTCTTGCCTTTCCAACTAAAAATGCGATAAGCTTTTAAACAGTTACTACGTACATTGGCGTTTAGAGTCACTCGTGTTTAAGAGTAGAGACCCAGAAAGTCAATGGAGTACAGTTCACATAGAGATAAACAAACTATGACGAGTAACAGAGAAAAGTCGAATTTTTGTTTTGTTTTGACAATTGTCTATACTAAAGCAACAGGGCGCATATATCATCATCACCATGATGATTAAAATATTTTATTCTTCAATATACAGATATCTATATATAACTGGAAAGGAAGTTTTCATAAACCATTCGTTTCAAACGAAAAAGCGTATAAAATAGAAAATGACCGTAATACAATATGCCAACAAACTATGAAGTCAATGTAGGAGGCGACATAGACGGCTGAACTAACCACTTCTGTGTTGAACAGACGCTGTCATTAATTCGCGAACAATTAGAAAAAGGAGAAGAAACAACTCTCCTTACTTTAATAAAATTATCGTTATACAACCAACAAGGCAGATGAGAACAAAGGAGAACAACAATATAAAAACAATAGACATTATTCCCGTGGATACTAATCCATAAGGATAGATAGACCATAAACAGTTAAGAAAGTAAGTATGGTAAAATCATGAAGTTGAATTTCAAACCATATTCTATTTCTTCTTCTCTCTCTTCACCTATTCCTCCTACTTGTAACGTCTTCTTTACAAAGTGGTGATTAACTTCTGTCAAGAGTTTGGAAACTGAAGACCAAATGTAATGGAGAAAGAAAATATCTCTGAACACATTCACATACACACACAATCAAAATATCACTTTGCAAAGAAGTGGAAGTGTGAAGTAATTTCTTTTGGGATGAAGAAATGGGAAAATGAATTCGCTGTCTTCCATAAGATGTTGGTAAACATGCACATGTTTAAAAAAGAAAGAATGTGAAAGTCTCTTCAGAACTCCAGTTAACGTTGATGGATATTATTAAACAGTATAACTTAAATATACTCCCTTCGAAAAACTTCAGTATTTCAATAAAATCTTATGAAAATAAAAAGGAGAAGAAAATGCGCATTGAGATTTAGAGGGATAGAAATCCCAATAATACTAATAACAGTTTAATGCAATACAAGGATGCTGGCTAAACGATATAAAACAAACTCTGTATTAATTTCTCCGCCAACCGGTTGTTATATGAGGATTAGACCAGTCAGCAACTGGGATGCCTACACTTCCATACTGTTTTGCTGATGTACGATTGAATACAGGCAATAGTTCATCAGCTTCAGCAGCATTACTCTTAAGATAAACAATTGCATCAGTTCCATAACCTTCTACACTGGCCAATATAAGATCACCATTGAAATATTTTGCGTATAGACGACTAAGAGGTAGACCATAACCATAGCCTGCCATTGGAGCATTAGCTTCATGACCAGGTGATCCAAACTCCATTGACATGTTTGGTTCACCACTACGTTTACACTGTCGAGCAGTTGTATATGTGTAGTTAAAAACCAGGTCAATTTCAGACCTCGGGATACCACCACCCATATCGGATATCTATTTTTAAACATGAACACAATAATAATCGGATTATCATTATGGTTTTCATTAACAAAAATATACAAATCAGTAACAAAAATAACTTGCTACTATCTTCCATAGAAATTCATTAACACCAATTAAAATGAATTTAATTCTCGATTAGAAAGTCGCATAAATAACTAATTGAACAATTGAATGTTTGATCATCTGTTGTATATAAGTGTAAGCAAGACTACTTACTAACTTTCAGATTAAATAGACAAAGATTATAGAAAATACAACATAAAATCAACAAAGATGAATACTTTAGAAACTACTTCCATTGATCAACAATATTCAATCAGTAATAGTATAATGCTACACTTGAAAAATTGTTCAACATTATGCATATCAATAATTCAAACAGTTGAATTGTTTAAAACAAAGTTCAACCAATTAACACATACAGAAGATATTAACGATATATTGAATCAAAGTGAATGTTGATGAGAATTAGCATTTTGAGAAAACAATAGTATAACTAAGTTGAAATAATCATTTATTTAGATTAAACAGAATACACTTAGTGAAATTCAATTAGAAATAGGCAGAAACAATCAAAAAACAATCAGATTATTTTAGTCACGCTTTTGGAAAATTATATGACTATGAACAATTGTCTAACTTCAAATATTTGTAAACAATTCTATAGACTCCCCCTTGAAATATCAAGGTCATATGTAAGTTCTGTTGTCTTCATGAATTTTTCTCTCTCCTAAGAATTAAGTGAAAGGTGAAATGGAATTTTTTTTTAAAGGCTCAGGTGTTGACAACCATATATCATACCATTTATATCAAAAGGCAACAAGAGGAAAGCAATAGGAACTACTAACGCTACATAACTTGAAGGTGTGATAGGGGGTGCTGTGATCGAAGCTTCGTTAAGAGAACAATGTGTTCAATTGGACCAGCATCAACACATTTGAACAGATTGAATTTCTTGAAATACCATCAAACAAGTTAAAGGCTTTAGAATTTTGAACAAGATACACTAATAGTTGAAAATGACAGTAACCCTGTCACGGTTAGTAAGATTGTTCAGCAAGCACTTAAAGTGTCCATAAGCTTAGGCAATAATAATAATAATAATAATAATATAATAATAATAATAATAATAATAATAATAATAATGAGAATCCAAAACTGCTTTCAGGATGTTGGCAATGTTGATAGCGGCTCGAATTTTGTGAGCATTTATTCTTTCAAACATTATGTTTGTACTACATGTTCAAGATAGGTTAGAAACAGCATCAAATCTAACAAATCTAACCACCAATATCAGATATACTGCAGTGTGGATTACTCTTCGTTATCCTACATGTTGGCGACTGTAAACATCAATTACATATTGCTTATTTAACGAAATTACAATGAAATTTTACCATTAAGTCTCATTTAATTGTCACTTTCACCACTGACTGTGATTTTCAAACACCTTGATTAAAAAGGTATTAGGGCTATGAAAGTTAGGAAGCACAACAAAGTAGTTCTAGGTTAGCAGAACATTATGAATGACCATTATTGACCAACAAATGACGTGTAGGCTTAATCGTATGACTTATTAGTCATGTTTTCTGACAATGATGCCAGGGTTATGCACTAATTTGCATACATTGTAAAACTCTTTGGCATATTATGTAAACATAACTTTTCTAGGCTTTATCTAACTTCAGTGTTATACCCATCGCATAAGAAGTGGCTATCGCGGCTCGGTGGTCTAATGGATAACGCTTTGGCGTTTGAAGCAATCAGTCCTAAGTCCAAACCCCAGTGAGAACAACATCACTCATTGAGAGGCAGGTACGTCCCAGCTGACGAGTCCCGAATAGGCCGAAATGTGCATCCTGGATTCCACTGCTAGCCACTATCCACCATCACTATTTATCCATATTCATTGTCGGAACACCAGATGACATGACTTTTCACAGTTGCCTGATGATCATCAGATAAAGTCACCCGAATAGTGAACAGCAGAAATAGAAAGGATTAAATTTGTCATGATGTTCTGCGACATCATAATCATCAAATACTGCATTCAAAAAACTGCTGAAAAACAAACTTTACTGGATTTCCTTACGTTATTCAACTAAATATAATCAGTTAGGTGTGCTTGAAACCTGCTCACACGTCGGTTTACAACATGTGAGAAATTCGTTATACAAACTAAGACATAGATAACACGGTCAGTAGGTGAATTCCATTTCCTTGATAGCTAGCAGGGTTCGTGGATGCGCACTACTGAGGAGTTCCATACTAGGACGAAACATGTCCAATTCTCCCAGGTTTCCAATGATTCTTCAACTTGAAATCAATCCATGACGAATACCAACTTGAAATCAATTATTCTGTATAAATTTATAAACTAAATTCCTATCCAGTGCTCACTAGTGACCTGCTTCGACATGAGATCTCACGAAGTTCTAATGAGAAGTTGTGACTGATGGAGTCAACCAGGTGGCACAAATACTCAACAATGCCGTTGGGTGAGGGTTACTGTATACCGTGAATTGACAGTATTAGGAAAATGTGAACCATCAGAAACAGACCCAGTGGCTCAATGGTAAAGTGTACGCCATAAAGCTTGAAGGTCCTACGTACGATCCCTAGCAGGGGTCATGGGTGTGCACTGCTGAGCAGTCACATACTAGAAAGAAACAGCTATCCAGTGTCCCCAGGTCCTCAACATTTCTTCAATTGATGTCAGTCCATGATGAATACTACCCTTGAAACCATAAATGTTTATCCATCTTCCGATTGACACAGCATCCAATATTACATTGATTCAAATGAGACGTATACTTCTTGGGCGTTGGTATCGCACTACTCAAAGTGAATTCGATGATATTTTGTATTCAATCGGTGAAGTGAAAAAACTGTTATACTCAAACTATAGAAGAGGAATATAAACAAAACTTTCTGTGTTATTCGTTACTTGTAATCTCATAAAGTATACAGCATCCTCTACCTTGAAACTTCTCATTTTTTTAATGACCATATAATCATATTGATACAATACACTCACGGTTCAGAATACATACAGACTACACATGAACAAGTCGAATGGTAGTTTTTTGTTAGTTGTAAATGAATACTTTAAATAAGCTGGTGAGATTATGAATACTAGAAAGAACTATTTTGAAAGTCAGTATTAATGAGCTAACAGTGGAAACTGTTGATTCAGTCTCAAGAACTTACAGCGTCTGATGAGTCCTATCAAAACAATGAGATAAATCCGACAAGTACAGGCTTAAGTTACTAACAAACTAATGATCGAAGTAACTGGAGAAAATACCGTCAAAATAGTTAACAGACTCGTAGTAACCTACTGAATCAGATGTTAAGGGCAGGATTACTTTTCAAGTTGAAGCTATTGCTGTGGGCGTTGCTGACAAGAATGGATATAAGTAGTATATATTGGGAGGGCAGCAGAAATCATAGGTGGGAGATTGGTACCTGACGTCAGTGAAATACCACTGCTGTCATTCTTTCCTTACTTATTCAGTGAAACGGGAACGCTTGGCCGCCACAAACCAGTTATCCCTGTGGTAACTTTTCTGACACCTCTTGCTTCAAACTCTAAAAATGGCATTCAAAAGGATCGATAGTCCACGCTTTCACGGTCTGTATTTCTATTGAAAATCAAAGTCAAGTAAGCTTTTGACCTTTTACTCTACGCCAGGTTTCTGTCCTGGGTGAGCTCACCATAGGACACCTGCATTACCATTTGACGGATATACCACTGCAGTTAAACTCCCCGCCTGACATGGTTTTAAGAACGGGTCGCATATCACATCCAAACTCAAATACCACAATTTGCACCACGACTAATCTGACATGACCATGACACAGATATACGCAGAGTTAGACTATGTATGCCAGCATGTGCTTCATACCAAAATACAATTTCGTTCCAGTTTCACTGACAGCAGTGGTATTTCACTGACGTCAGGCACCAAGCTCCCACTTATGATCTCTGCCATCCTCTCAACACACACTACTTATATCCATTCACATCAGCAAAGCCCACTACACTATGACACTCTAGTCCAGATCAATACACTTCATAAACAATGGTATACGACTGTAAAAGAGAAGGCGTTAAGATTAAGCACAAAAGAACACAGAGTGATGAAATCTTCATCACTTATAATAAGACAAGGAATGAATGCATCCGGGTTAGCTTAATGAATTTTAATTAGCCATAACGGTTGTTTTCAAGACTCCCATTAGTTGAATTGAATCAAAACATCCTCAGCAGCCTTTTACATATTTGTGCAGTAGGCAGTGAGCCACTTCGGTAGGTGGCGTGGGACTCGAACCCATGACCCATCAGCTGAATGTTATCTCCTTAAATCAATGAGTTACACCTCGTATAACTTTAAAAATCCTACAGATTGGTATCATATCTTGGGCTGATCGTCCTAGCACTTTAATCATAATTCTACTTCTTTCGAACACAGTAAAATGAGGTGAATTTCTACTTAAGCATGAACAACAAAAAAAAAATATACAAACTTCTGACTTCGTTAGGAATTGATGATTGACTTTTCAGTACTAGGTTAGGTGATTTCATAGATGCTTGTTGTGTAAAAAACAACAACAGTGAAGTGTATTCAAGTTATAAGACTGCTGATGCAGAATACATGTAGACTTTGAGGGTCTTGGACTATGAGAAGGAAAGTTTTCTTACCACTTGTTTTCACCTATTTAACTTTAACTTTTGTTTGATTTTACTGAGGATATCTTGCCAGTGTAAGTATATGATTGTTATTATCCCTGAACAGATGCAAGTCAGTAACACACTTCACTAACTTTACTTAGTTACTGAACAAGTGATTTTGATATTATGTACAATGGTTCCATTATGTATGTGTAAACGATGCTTAAGGATGAGACAACTTCTAACTTACTAAGAACAAGCTTCAGAATTGAAAAGTTGCACAAAATAGATTGGTAGGCAGTATACTCTATTTGATTAATCATTTAAACAAGTCGACTCCACCTAAATTTTGATTGTCAACAATCTACTATCATTCATTAATTTACCTTTCAAAGTTGAGTAAATTGTGAGTATTGATGAGTTGTGAAGCATCAATTTGTCTACTTCCTTTCTCTCTTATATAATTCAAAGTGTGATAACTTGAAATAATGGACTCTTTTGTCAGTCTCTATGATGATCTATTTGTCACTATTTTGTAGTGAACAAATAAGAAACCAAAATCCTTACAGTGGTTACATTCTATCGTAAGCTTTAAATAAGAGGAATAGGTCATTTGTAAAGAATTTTTCAATAGGAAATATTTTCCTGAGAGGCGAAAAGATGGAAATGTTATCTTACTTTAATAACTAGTGAACTATAACTATCATGTAAATGGCTTATGACAGTAACTGGTTGCCTCTGTCGAACTAGGAGGATCATGATCCCGATTCAAAATCTATAAATTGAGAGTCAAGTTTTGATACTAACCAGACACATATTCTGAAGAAACATCTCGGTGGAAAAGAGCGAGTAAAAATGCAGAAGTACCACCTGAAGTATCCAAACTAAGACAACCACTAACAAAACTACAAGTATTCGTGTGATAAGACTTTAGTAACTTATCATACTTACTTACTGACTACTACTTGTAGTAAAAGAGGAGGGCAAAATATCAGCGCACACTCTATTAATCAACTAAACTCAATGCTACCTATTAGTTAGAGTTTGTTTGTGTTCCGAAATCTAAAGGGGAGGTGAAATTTTCGAATAGGTAGGAGTGATGGAAGTTTAGACAATGTAAATAACATATATAAACCACTAGGCAAATACGTTAGAATACAGCTTTTATGATATAGCTCAATTACATGGACCTAAGAATGTTAAATCTGTTCTCCACTCTTAAGTACTCAGTAAACATAAACAAATCCGCTTGTTGTACATTTGTCAATGATTCCAATCGACTACCTAGAACAGAACAGAACATAAAACAAGAAATTTATAGTAATCATACTTATTTCTTTAAGGCTTTACTTAATCATTCGCCTAGCTAGAATCAAGTCAAAAGTGTATTACGTCATGAAGCTTTGCATGTGTAGAATAGCGACATTTTTTGATTGGTTGTGATATGCTGATTAGCACAATGGAGGTTATATATACGTTTTCATGAAATAAAAATTATTGAACGATTGTAGAACTCAACAAATATGATTGTCCCTGAAACATAACATGAAGAAACTGACAAGCAATTCACTAGCTGGATATTTATTAAATGAACTTATATTGTTATTGATATACAAAAAATATGACCCAATATATAATGTGAATAAATATCGCAGATCTGATAATGTGTAGATAATCAAAGTGGAAGTCTTTAGACACTCAATGATTTCTCAGTAATACTACGATGCCTTTCTGTTACTTATGATAGATATCCCACGAAATAGTATGCGATCATTCCAAACATTGTGATATCTGGAACATCAGTCTAGTTAGTATCTAATTTTGATAATTTGGTTGGTTGTGGCTGGCAGAAGAATCCAGGAAGTGCGTTTCGTTCCATTTGGGACTCGTGAGCTGCATATACCTGCACCCCAGTGGTGTTGTTCCCACTGAGATTCAAACCTCGTACCCATCGCTTCAAACGTCAAGGCGTTATCCACTATGCCAAGGAGAAAAGATAGCCACTTCTTGTACAATGGGTATTAGTTATTACTATTTATTGACATACTTGCTATTGTGCATTGTTTTGTTGGATCGAATTGTTCGACCTCTATTGGCATATGGGCTCCTATGCGGATACCTCGATATTGCCAGCTGACGAGTCCCAAATAGGACGAAATGCGCGTCCTGGATTCACCTGCTAGCCACAACCAACCAAATTATCATAATTAACATTCAGGCAATATCGAGGCATCCGCGTAGGAGCCCATATGCCAATAGAGGTCGACCAATTCGATCCAACAAAACAACAGAGAATACCAAGTATATCAATAAATAGTAATAATATCTAATTCTCCTGAAAATTATTTATTTCCGACTATTGCATCTCCACTGAGTTAATGAAATATGTAGTGCATTCATTGTCTTAGCACTTTAATGGATTTCACGTAAGTGAACAGTTCTATATTTATGCCTTATTTCTCCTTTTCCTCCTCCTCTGACTGCATACTTTTTCCAACTATTGAAGATGTTAGGGATACAAAGAAAGATAAAGCTTAAAGGCTCTCTGTTTTATTAACAACTGAGATAATTGTTTTAATTTATCTTTCTGTGTAGATTATTTTCTGGAATTGAAGGCTAGTGTACTTTAGTATAGCGTTTATGAATTCACATTATTTTAGAACTCTTACACAGTAGACAGTTTTGTCGGTTGAGTTTATTCACCAATGAAAACGAGTTTGTGAATAGAATTGTAATTTGTAGCAACTGCAATACTTTATCAATAATGCATTGCTTGTAAGATGAGACATATATGGATTATGACTTGAGATTCAAACTGGTTGTCGTCCATGACCTGTTGAGTAAATGATTTCAACTAATCATAAGTTAATATTCTGAAATCCAATTATTTATTTATTTTCACTAATGTCATAAAAGTAAAGTCAATTGTTCTGGAATGCTGATAGAATGAAGATTAATCGATATGCCGAAGTGATCTAATTTACTGTGTTTGGGTGATAAGATAGATTTATTCAGCGTTTGTAGTCCACGCATGAATAATCTCAAAACTCAAGCTTCCCCGATGACAAAGCAATTCGTTTAGTAAATGCAAACCACTATAACCTTGATATTTCAACAGTCCCATCGTTTTTCTTTGAAACATAAAATCAAACATCATGAATATTCAGTAATTTATACCACTACTAAACTGTAGAACAGATACCTAAAATGCCAGTAGTAGTAGATAAACTAGAGACATGTTATTTATTATACGAGTACTAGATGACTAAAAACATGCCAAATAATCTGAATTACGCTTACTTTGATTGTCACGTTTTCCCGACCAGTTGCTACCAAAACTTCAATAGGTGGAATAGAATCAGCTTTACTATGTTGTTCGACAGCTGCACGCATAGCATTCTGTGCAGAAGGTAAATGAACAAACATAGCGAATAGAGATTCTAAATAAACAAAAATGCTTATATCAATTCAGTTCTTAAAGGTAATTAAAAATAGGGTTATTATTATTATTGTGATTGAAGTGTGATTTATAACATCACCTATATGTCATTACTTTACGATAATGTGTTGGTAACGTGCTGGCGACGGAACCTGAAGGTTATGGGTGCGCACTGCTGAGGAGTCCCATACTAGAATGAAACAGCTGTCCATTGCTCCCAGGTTTCTTTTGTTCCTCCAACTGATGTCAGTCTATGATGAATAACAACCTGAAAGGTGTTAAGCTGTTATCTAACTGACAGTTTTATTCTAGATTGAATTTTATTCAACTTAAGACACTTCGTTTATCTTTCATACTTACACGGTTTTAGTTCGCTGTATCCATCATTAGTGAATAGTTCGAGTAACTTGACTTTTTTCTACAAAGTAAGCTGTATAAATTATTTAGAAAGTATTTTTCTCTTTCGCAGAATTTCACAAATTGATGGAAACATGAGCTATTCACATCATAGGTAGTCAATTGAGTTCAGCAAAATGGAAGATTACAGTCTTCCGCATATGATGATGAGTAGAGTATATTTTGGATAATTTTATTCAACCTAAACCATCATAACTCATTTGCATTTTTTATAATTTATACTTAAAAATGTTCTCTTATTAGAATATCTAAAAAGATTATTCGGGATTTCTTTACCTAATGAGTTTTCGATTAAAATTATATCGGTGTGTTGTAGGCATATGGAGTTGTGGTTCATTGGTTTAGAGAGGTGACACCTTCAACCAGTGAGTCATGGGTTCAGATACTGTTCCATATATGAAGGTGGTTTTGGCAGCCAGCCAGTATCATTAGCGTTTAAACACAATAGGTGTGGCTCACTGTCTACTACACGAATGTGCACAAGGTTGCTGAGTGCATTTCGAGTCGATTTGAAATACACAACAAAACGTAAGTAATTGAGCACCATTTGTCGTAAATGTAATTTAGCTTCCAATAGTTATTTAAAAAGAACTAAGTGGGATAGATTCAACTACAGTTAACTGCATGTTTTTTTGATGTTCTATAATCACAACTCTAAGCAAAACCTCAAACAAGCAACCTATCTACTCAATATCTCAGCAAAAAGCTTTTAGCACTCGGTTTCATCTCTTAATTCTGTAATATGACACTAAAACTCTCTACTCTTCACCGATATCATCTGACCAGAAGGATGGGTTTCTTTTCCATGACCAGGACAAATTGTCAGGATTGTTAATTTGGTGCGTAAAGTTTATTAGTAACCAAGTTATTATTATTATTATTATTATTATAGGTAGTTTAAATACTAGACACTTTTAGTTCGATGAAAATATCAAAAGATATCTATCAAGACTTAAAGTGTCTTGGAACAAGTTATATCGACTTGAGGAAAACAAAGCAAGTCTTAATGATTACATTTTGATTTTTAATCAAACTAATTATCGTCAATTATTAAGCCAACAAAATAATCCTCAACTTTTATTGCCAACCGTCAAGTAAGTCACCTTTTACAAATACTGGATCAAACTAGGAAACTTGAATAAATACCCAAAGGCTCTTTTTTTATTCAATCACTTTGTTACACAGAATCCCTGATAATATTTATCATACAAAGTCAATCAGCTGAATATATATAGTGTCTAGAAACAATCTTTTGTGTATCAACCAGAGACATATACACATTCTAATACTTGTGGTTATAATTTGACCAAAAGTTTTCATCAGCAGTAAAAATATTGTAAAATAGTGTAATATAAAAGCTAAGAGGCTAATGAAGTTTCAGGCATTTGGTTTAAGTGGAATTGTAAATCGAAACAAACTTTTGTAATTCAAGGTATGAGGAGTGGGCTTTAAGCAAACAACGTCCTATTTCCATAGCAGATAGCATAATTTTAAACGCCATTAGGTTTTTGGTTGTTACAACATACGTAGGTTATTATTATATGGACCATGCATATGTAATTAAATTCTATTGGTGAGATGAATTTACACCTACACCTAATACAACTTTGTTGACAAAATGAGGAAAGATAGTGTTATATTGTGCGATAACATAGCTCAGATCCTGACAGGAAGCCCTAGATCCTTGAAGTCTTTCACAACTAATCGTGTTGCTTCGAAGTTTCCAGAAAAAGCATATGAACCTAAGTGTAGATATTAGACTGGTTGAGAAGGAGAAATCAATGGAATACGCTCTTCTAGAAGAACCTAGAAATAACCAACGCTATCGTAAAAATATACATAAACCCTCATAATTTGTACATACTTTGACGCTTCAATATACCTGTTAACTTACCACTTTTCTGATTCACTGAACAACCCTAAGCGACCATTATCATTATTGTTTGTCCCTTGGGTTCCTAGTGGAACATAAGGCTTCAGTAGCACATCTCCATTCCACTCTCTTCTATGCAATCTTTTGAACATGGCTCCACAACCGCACACAAGCTCTCATTTCTTCCTCATACAATACCCTCCATGTCATCCTCGCCTCGGACACCCAACTCGTCGTTTCCCATCTGAGTTCCACTCGACCAACTCGCCTGGCACGTGATGTCCCCAGTCGGCCTTCTCACTGCATGCCCAATCCATCTACACTTCCTTATGCATATTTGCTCCTCGATAGCTTCTTCGTTGGTTCGTTGTCAGTCAGAGTTCCTTGTTGCTTATTTTTACTATTCTGGCCATCTGACCTTCAGTAAGGAGCCAGAGTAAGCAGTTGTTGGTGAATATCTGTAGTTTGTTGGAAATGCTTTTCGTAACGCACCACGTCTCTCAACTATCACATAGAAGCATTAACTTACTTGACTGAATTAGTGTTGAATATCCGGATATTGTTCACGCTTTATGCTGAGTGCAGAAGATCTCCACACTGGTTTCAGGTTAATGAACGCCTGTCTTGTTGTCTTTCCGATCCTTGCTGGCTTTGATGTCCTCGTCTGTGCCACTGCCTGTAGTTGAAACGATGCTGCCTAGATAGGTGAAAGAGGCTATTTCCTTTAAGTTTCTCCCGTTGATGGTGATTGGAGCCAATTGGCTTCCCGAAGGCTTTCACCACCCGGAGTCATTTCGTCTTCCCGATTCCAGTGAAGAATAAGTTTGTTTTTATGTTTTATATTTTGTCTATGCTTTGAAGTTTCTGTAGCGGTTTGATTGGTCTTACGGGGTAGGGTTGCTAGCCGTATGCCCAACCTTCCCTCTTTACCCGGGTTTAGGACCGGCTAGTAACTAGTGTACAAGTTAACCAGGCGAGATTCTAAGAGATCATAAAGGATCGAAATCTGAAGGTTATTGTTTAAGTGTCCACTCACATATATATCTGTTTTCTGATTCAGAAAGCCCGATAAAACGAGGCATCAAGAGATGCATCATATAAAATATAATGACAATGTATAAACAGTACAAATTGTTTGAGAATATGAACTTGAAATTGTGACTAGTTGTATTTGCAATGAAAGTGCTTGAATGAACAACATGTCTACTGAAACTTCAACAGAAGAGTAATACTGAGCAGTGATTGAAGGTGAGATGATATTTTGGACAGCGGTCAGATTCGAACCAGCAACCACCGGGTTTCCGGCCGGTGTCCACATTTTTATTTCACCTTCAATCAATACCCAGTATAAATACTAGTCTGCTAAAACACGGCTATCTCAGAGAGTCAAAATGAGATGAGCAATAGTGTTGTGGAAATTTTCACCTCAAAGCTAACTGTAAAAATATCCATTAGGTTCATATTCCTAAAACCTGGATTGTGAGGTAAGCTTCCAGTAATTCAAAAAAACATCAGTTGTTTTACGTCAGTCAGTGTTAGTCTACAGAGAGATAAAAATCTAACACTTTTAAGAGTTGGTACAAGATAATCAAAGGTTGCTCATGTAATACAATGTGCAGTATACCTATCACCTTGGAACAAACGATATTAAGTGGATTCCTAGACTAAGATGACCGATGTGAAGTATGAGTACAGCGGTTAAATATCTAATCTCTGAAACATTTAGTCGACCACTTCACTAGCGTAGGAAGTTTTTCATCAGCCTAACGGGTTGCTGACAGCATTTGAGCTCAGATACAATAGGCCCGTTTGGCACTTGCCAAATTGTGTCATCTTTAGCGATGACCGGCAAGATATCCGACTATCTATCAACAGACGAGTGTACTGCGCAACAGTCCGTTCTGTCCTGTTATACGGCTGTGAAACATGGTCATTAAAAGTAGGAGGTATAAAGCGGTCAGATATTTTTTGACCGTGTTTCATAGCATCGTCCATGTATTTTGGAATCACCATGTGATCCATAATGAGGTCACCTGAAAAGTTCTAGGGAAGGAAGGCAATAAGGTTGTGAACCTTTAGCTACTGACTTGGCTTGATCATGTCCTACACGTGTCGCATCAATTAGGAGTCAGAGGAGGGTCCAGGGTCGCCAGATCAAGACGTGACATCAGTCCATGAAGTCTCTGACAGTTGGTGTCGGTAGTACACGAAGATGCAGACCATCAGGCTAGGGCCCATCGGGCGATAGGAATCAGCGGTTGAGGACTTTTGGTGACATGGCTAAAGACCGATCACAATGGCGAAGATATATTCACTCTTCAACATCTTTTAAGGCTTGAATATTTGTACTAGCCTCTATCTTCAGGTTGTTTATTCTCTCACACAACTTTGTCTACATTGATATGAGTCCTTTTTTTATCTATCTGTGTTTTGTATGGCACTATGAAGGGTGGTAACTTGAGCCGATGCACTTGTGTGCAAAGCCCTACGTTAGTATTATTTTTCTGCCTGGAACACTCCAAAAGCACAAATGTGTATATTAATATCAAGTGAATATATATATATATATATATATATATATATATATATATATATATATATATATAATTTTAACATTTCGATTTTGGGTAATTTCTAGCTAGTATGATCGCATTGATTTCAACAAACCATTTATCAAAAGGTCCCAATATCATCGACTTCATTAAAAGAACAAAATGTAAAAAAGGCAAGCTTACCTTCAGTAGTTCAAATAAAATATGATATAAGTGAGAAGGTACGTAGACGAATTCAATTTTTCCATCTTCTACTGTACAAGACAAAATAACAAATACATTGAAATGTGTAAGGGAACTACGAAATTCTTTTCTTCTTATTAACCCGACAAGTATATAAAATGATAAGCTATTTGATAATGTAAATATAAATAACGATACTCAGATCATACATGTGTGAAACGATGAATAAGCTAAGATAAGCAAAGATATACATGCGTTCCAAGTTTTCAGATTCAGAGATTCAATACCTTCACTCAGTTTAGGACACCAACGACGGAAAACTAAGTTTAGCCTGAATGAATACTAAATATAGGTCATTTTACACTATATGCTCAATTAAAATTTGATTGAAATACATGACTGTACGGTAGCACACACACGTTGGCTGTCTCAAGGTAGAGGGTTCACAATTTATAGTTTCAGATGATGTGAAAAAATACATAATTAATCCTGAGAAGTTAAAATCTTTGTTGGAACCAAACATGAAGCTAATTATCCGTGAAAAATAACAATTTATTTCAAACTGACAAAATCATTTAAAACTCATTTAGGAAGTTGTCTAAAAATGTTATGAGGACTTTAGTTATCTCACAAATCTATTTACACCTAGAGGTGTAGTCACAAAATACAAAAGAGTTTAAAGAGTAACATGTTCAGTGTGAAGCACAAACATCTTTTGTGAAGATTTTTTAATTAACTCTAAAACACATGTTACTGAATAGTGTCATATTAGAAAACCGTAGAAATTTGTTATTATTTGTTCATACTTGCAATTCTCTGTTGTTATACTGGATCGAACTGACCGACCACTGTTGGTATATGGGACCCTACATGGGTGCCTCAATATTGCTTGGATATTTATTGTTATGATTGACTTGGTTGCTGTTGCCATTAATGGAATCAAGGACGCGCATTTCGTCCTATTTGGGACTCACTAGCTGAATGTACCCGCACCCCAGTAAGTGATGTTGTCCCCACGGAGACTCGAACCTCGTAAGTCAGTCATAACAATAGATATTCAGGCAATATCTAAGCATCCGCATAGAAGCTCGTATACCAACAGTGGTCGAGCGATTCGATCCAGTATAACAACGGAGAATTACAAGTATATCAACAAACAGTAATGACTAATACCGGTTGTACGAGAGGTGGCTGTTGCGACTCAGGGGCCTAATGGATAACGCTTTGGCGTTTGAAGTGATGAGTATTGGGTTAGAGTTTCAGTGGGAACAACATCACTCACTGGGGAACAGATACATCCAGATGATGAGTCCCAAGCAGGACGAAACTTGCATCGTGAATCCCACTACCAGTCACAACCAAGTCAATTATAATATGAGAAACTTACTTAACTTTATTTAATATGAATCAGTACACGTAATCAGTCTATTAACAATTATATTTCCGGAATCTCCCCCAGGAATTTCGTCAGATGTGAAATTAGGGTTCTAGATTCAGATACTTCAAAAAATTACTATGCGACATACGTTAAAATCGCAATGCACCACATTATTATCAACCCTATCGAAAGTCAATAGGCAATCCTGCAAGTTCCATTCAACTTGTATAGAAGTATTAGTCCAAACGATCTGATCTGTTTTCACAACTAGTGAAATATATAGATCAACCCTTACACTTATTATTGTACTTCAGCCATAAGTCAGTGTTCACGACGTCACCAAACCTAGTGAAGAAACGACCCGGACAAAATATCAAAGCTGAGAACATTGAAATATTACCACTATCGTCTTCCTTTTTATCTTGGTGTTTTATATTCCGATTTATTAATGTAAGGTGTAGTACACAGGAGTGCTGCGCAGTGATGCAGCGTTGTATGTAGATTATATCCGCGTCTAAACAGTAAAACAACCACCCCGTCTAAGTGCTATGGTAGGACCAAGCGTATAAACAGCCTAGTCCTCCTTTCGAAATGATGTCATGTAGCCATATGCTTACAGTCTTTTCTGAGAAAAACCTTATTAACTAATTATACCTGAAGTAGGTGAAAGGATAGGAACAAATGTCAGGTGCTAATGAACAGACTGATAAACAGAGTCCATCAAGTGCAAACCCTTCACGTGGAATGTGCAAATAAATTGCTTAATCTTGCTTTGCAGAATAGACTTCAAATAAAAAGTTTGAGGAGCGATCCCAGAAGATAATCATGTGCTTCGACCTAAGTACATATCAGTCTTCATGAAATCAAGAGATAATGCTTTACAATGGAGAAAAAATCAATTCTGTTGAACTATACATTCAGAACTCAGTTATTGAATTTATTACCATATCACTATTGTTATCTTTATTGTTCGTAATGACTGAAAGGTAAATACAAGGTGATCAGTTGTTGACTAGAGAAAACAATCCAGAGTTATGAGGAAAAGGTCTTCCTTAGTGTTTTACACAACCGATTCCCTACCGTTGTGTCTCCTCTACATCCCATATTTATATATAATGTCTTCTTTCGAACCGTCGGGAATCGTTCTCGGTACTGTCAAGGCCTCAGACTCTTCTCAATCAATCCTGAATCATAACAATTCTCGATAACCAATCTTCGAAGTACTCCCACTTCCTCATTTACAGCATCATCTGTAAAAATCCCTCTAATTCCTCTGCATATTGAATCAGTCAAACTTCTTTTCTTACTTAGTCGAACCCAACTTTGAAAATTCATTTCACATTTGTTTCCTGTCTTCTATTCATCAAAACGTCCAGGAAGTGGAATTCAGTTACTTTCAGTTTCCATAGTAAATTTAATTGAATTGTTGAAGTGCTGTGGTATAACGCTTCAAAGTTCTTATGTTGCCCACGGATGATGGAAGTTTCATTCATGTATGTCTTATGTAGTTGGAAGTGGTCAACAAATGAACGCAGCTTACTCTTCTCCAGATTAGCCATGAACCAATCAGCTGAAAGAGGTTATAATCTCCCAAGAAATCTCCACTTATTTATTTATTATCTATTTTGTTTACTCATTCATCAAACTTATTAGAATTATTTTCACCCGCTTCCTTTACCCTGTAGTTGTTAATTTCAATATGACTCCCACTTTTCTCACCTTTTCTGGTACTCTATCACCTTGTAATTACCCTGTATTGGCCTTCCAGTCATTACCTTCTAATTCAACAAACAATTCTTGACGAACTTGTGTTGCCTCACTAACCATTGACAGGCATGTGTTTTCTTTGTAACTGTAAGTACGGATGTACAGCTGCTGAAAATGACTAGTCAGAAAAAATTTTCTTCACTGCATTGTTAATTTCTTGTCCATAGTTTTTATTTCAACTAACTCGTTACTACTGTTTGAAACTATGTTTTCGAGTGACTAAACAATTGCATTTATAAAGCCATTCTTTAATCCTTTGTCTGAGATCATGAGTTTTGTTTGAACTTGCTATGTTTAACGTTTGCACTTCGATGAAGATAAGTAAACGGACATGTTTGGCTGGAACTCTAAAAGGCCATGTTGTTGATATGCTGTATCCCAGAAATCTCCATAGCCGATCTCAGTGAAGTCCTTTAGGTAAGTTCTCCTTCTGTCAGTTCAAAAAGTATGTTTCGTGTACAATTATTTGCAAAGTAAGTGGCATTGATGACCCCCATCATTGATGACACGGTTGTATTTGGATCTAGAGCCTAAGCTGCACTTTTGAACTTAAGATTCACTAACAATTGTCTCTACTACTTAGCTAAAAAGCCAAATCAGGAGAAATAATACTTCCTTATCATCTTTACCCACGGTCCCAGCAGAATGAAGTCTTTATACAAAAACGGATGAATTCTATCACCAACTGGGTGGTCTCAACCAGGTATGCTCGAAAAGCATAGCAGTTGTAGCTGAGAACTTAAATATTTAGAGAATGTCATTTAGGTGAGTATTAGGTACTAATCACCATCGACGGGAGAAACTTAAAGGAAGTAGCCTCTTTCACCTATCTAGGCAGCATCGTTTCAACTACAGGCAGTGGCACAGACGAGGACGTCAAAGCCAGCCAGGATCGGAAACACAGCAAGACAGGCGTTCATTAACCTGAAACCAGTGTGGAGATCTTCTGCACTCAACATAAAGCGTGAACAATATCCGGATCACCAACACTAATTCAGTCAAGTAAGTCAGTGCTTCTATGTGATGGTTGAGAGACGTGGTGCGTTACGAAAAGCATTTCCAACAAACTACAGATATTCATCAACAACTGCCTACTCTGGCTCCTTACTGAAGGTCAGATGACCAGAATAGTAAAAATAAGCAACAAGGAACTCTGACTGACAACGAACCAACGAGGAAGCTATCGAAGAACAAATATGCATAAGGAAGTGTAGATGGATTGGGCATGCAGTGAGAAGGCCGACTGGGGACATCACGTGCCAGGCGGGTTGCTCGAGTGGAACTCAGATGGGAAACGACGGGTTGGGTGTCCGGGGCGAGGATGACATGGAGGGTATTGTATGAGGAAGAAATGAGAGCTTGTGTGCGGTTGTGGAGCCATGTTCAAAAGATTGCATAGAAGAGAGTGGAATGGAGATGTGCTACTGAAGCCTTATGTTCCACTAGGAACCCAAGGGACAAATAATAATGATAATAATAATAATAATAATAATAATAATAATAATAATAATAACAATAATTAAGTACCAGCTACCTGCAGGTCGTAGAATGAAGGAGTCTTCTGCAATTGTGTGTACATTACATTCTATTTGTGGCCGTGACAAGCTTCTTATGAAATCACTGCAGTTGTACTAATTGGTATATTTTTATCTACAACTCGAATCTAGACATCATGTCATAATTAGTTGCCGATCGCATGGGAACATCTAGAACTATCATTTCTTGTGGAGCACCTGTCTGAACTCTTATTAGGCTTCAGCACGTGTAAAGCTCACTTTAAGTGTTGTTGGCAACTTTTTAGGTAGATTAACGTAATCATTTTAGTTGCCCCTCGTATAGCAACTAACAGATCAAGTTGGAATCAATGCTAGCCACTGATGTTTCAGAAATTGTAGATCAGTACTGACTGGCTAGAAAACGTAAGTGAAACGATGAAGAAAGCCTCTCCTGGTTCACGAAAACTTCCATCATAAACACTGAATATCTACAGTCATAGCAACATCATGCCTGTCAATCTATTAAAGCGGATAGCGAGTACAGTGACTTTTATAGATCCCCCACAGAAGATTACGGGATGATTATGCAAAACATGCAAGCGAGGTGGAAACATTGATCCCACCTATCAGTAACCGGAAACTATCCTAATTCACTGGATTCACCAGAAGTATGTTACTTGGTGTTAGTAGAACAGTTGGTGAGGTGGACATCATTATTATTATATTATTTGTCCCTTGGGTTCCTAGTGGAACATAAGGCTTCAGTAGCACATCTCCATTCCACTCTCTTCTCTGCAATCTTTTGAACATGGCTCCACGACTGACCACAAGCTCTCATTTCTTCCTCATACAATACCCTCCATGTCATCCTCGCCTCGGACACCCAACTCGTCGTTTCCCATCTGAGTTCCACTCGACCAACTCGCCTGGCACGTGATGTCCCCAGTCGGCCTTCTCAGTGTATGCCCAATCCATCTACACTTCCTCATGCATATTTGCTCCTCGATAGCTTCTTCGTTGATTCGTTGCCAGGCCAGAGTTCCTTGTTGCTTATTATCATACCGATTAAAAATTTTCAAAGAATTGCTAAATGGAACACTTTGAAAAACTTTAGTCGGTCTAGCGCTCAAATAACCTCGATTTCAGTTTTTTATGTCCCATCATAGGTTGCGACCGACCCGAGTAAGTACGCGAAGAAATTCTGTATACTAAAATGCACTTGACTTAGACAATTTCAGCTCTTTCTAAGGATGTAGGAAAGGATCTATTAAGAGAAATGATTTTATTTTCGTGAGTTTATGTCAGATGGAGTCACCTCAGAGTGAAACCATGTCTATAAAGGGTTTATCGTATGTGAAAATAATCAGAGTGTAAATCCGTCCACAGCTGTGGTAAAGACATTGGTCGCAGTTATAATTCACAGACTGAAAATACAGGAAAAATTTGTTTTGAAAGAGTACGCCAGGTTTTACTTAAGTCAAGCAGCTTGGGGGAACCCTTCATCAGATGCTTGGACATTGACATACACGCTGCATATCAAGAATTATGTTTCTCGACATTGAAGCTGTCTTCAACTTGAGTAGGATTAGACGTCAGGATTCCACTAGAGAGGTATTCTTAAGAACTTTATTAGCGTCACGAAGGCTCTAGTCTTAGGCCTATTTCCTCGAAATCACCAATCATTAGCCTTTGTTTTTTGATGCATAAACTATTTAAATCTCATTTGCATTCGTAAAATGTACTACATTAGATACACACAAATGTGTGCTCCATTCATCTCTCAATATGCTTTCTATCTGCACAATTAGATTTCACTGTTCTAATTTACCTTAGCTTCCGCTCATCAGTTGAAAGATATTAGGAAGATCCAAACAATAAAATTACTAGCCGCTTCAATATAGTTTGAGAAACCATTATAGCCTACACAAACGCCTTGACAAGCCGTCTCAATATGTAATGCGAATTTATACATCAAATGATAGAAAATAAAATAGAATCTGCTTTAATATTTTAAAACTTACCACTGTGCAGATGGACTTTAATTTCTGGGGCAACGGAATAATAGTGTTCGCAAAGAAATCTAGCATCCTCGTATGCGTCATCTAATATTTCCCGGACATTGCAATCAGGATCAATAGAACCAACATATCTTCTGTGTTTATTCAACTCAGAACCAAACATCAGCACTGGAATGAGAAAACAATGAATACTCACCCTAGCTTTAGTCATAATGTCAGATAAGATTACAAACCCTATCTTAACTAAAACGAATGCCCAACACTTTTATGTTAATGGATCAATAGAAGATTAAGTAAGAGAAAATACTGCTACCCAGAGTTCCTCTTAGGGACAAGTCATACCGTTAGAGTGCAGCTGTTGCTCAATGGTTTAAGGAGTTGAATTCCAACTAGTCAGTCATGGGATTAAATGGCGCTTCTTCTACTTAGGTTTGTGCAGCCATAAAATATCATTAGCCTTCATATGACTATAATGCCTCATTATCTACTGTGTGAACGAGCACGAGATTACTGAGTGAATTTCACTTTCATACAGTTGCATTTTACCCGATTCGTTAGTTCATAAATTGTCTACCCGTTGGGAAGCACGCGACTACAACAGAACTTCTCCGAACCATTCTCTAGTTTCTCAAAACCTTAGCTAATTTCAAATACACAAAGTTGAAAATGATAGCAAAAACCCTTTAAACTGAAACAATGCAATGCTTGACACTTCTGACGGCCTTTTGCAGAGAACTGAGGCATCATAGAAATAGAAAATAGCGTTTCAAATTGAGGAATACATGCTAAGAAAATTTATAAAACATGTGACAGTCAAATAAAGGAAACACATACTTACAGTGTTGACTTAGCAACATACGAATACTAATTCGCATCATATAGAATCTGTCCAAAAAGTACTGCACCTGATTATTAGTTATGACGTCGCTTTTGTATTTCTCCTGCATTTCCATGACACCCTGCGTTATATAACTAGCATAGTGGTTGAGAAAAATGCAAAAACCTGTGCCATCGTCTCGACAACGGTCGTGTGGCGGCTTCGGATGCGCGCTAGTGTTTCGTTGAAACGATTTAGGCTGTTTTCATCCCAATGTATTTTTTCAAAGTCCACTAGATCACAAAAACTCTGCTCATACCTGAAGGGTAGAATTTGAAGTGCCAAACAAACCATTGCCTCACAAGAGATGCCGAGGGAGTTTGCACAAGTTGTTCAGGAAGCAAATGAATCTCTTGCATAATATTTGCGAGACGTACAGGTAACTCATCAGCCAAGAAAGAAGCTGATTTCTGAACAGAACCAACTTTGCCGAAAGCAATAAGTTTTTTCAAAGATAAAGGGGTAGGAGAGTATCCACCGAACCTCACAAACTGTTCCGCATATTTGCCACTCAAAGCAAATATTGTTTGTGACAACCTCATATCAACGTAATACTCTTCACAACCACATTCGTTGTGGAACCAACTTTACGTAGCAAACCCATTCAAATTAGTGTTTGTATTTCAATCTTCAACCCATTGAGTCCAACATGCAACATCTTTCAATAGCAATAGTACGAAAAGAAGAAACTTTTGGTTTTTGAACTCTCAAATTTAGATTTCGAGACTTGCTTTTTTCTGTCTGGCTATACTGCATCGGTGCTGGCCACAAAAATAGGTGGCCTAGTCCAAGGTACAGGTGGAGTAAATCACAACAGTAGGTAGTGATGAACAAACTGTTAGCAGTACGGAGTTGTCAGGAAATCGGCTGCAGTTGACTTTCAGTAGCGGGCGAGACTAAGCCAGCCCCATCCCGGTACATACCAGGAAGTGTATCTCTGAATGGCGATAGGGTATGTAGAAGGGGCGACAGGCTAGAGGTTCGCCAGCAACGTTGTCGTCATCAAGTGGTGGCTTACACGTCTCCCACCTACTTGGAGTCAGAAATACACCCTTAAGCGCGCTTTTTGCGTTGGTACCACTAAATTTTAAGCTTTGGATTACTTGGTTATGGTTCAGTACAGAGCTTCGTGGCAAATTGGGAACGAGAGAGAAAAACGACCACATGATAATCGATGCTTCTTCATCCCCTTGTGAATGCTGCGGAGCTCTTCACGCAATTTCGTCATGTGGGCGACGGGGACAAAAGTTGTGGTGCGCCTGAATGGCGTACGTCTACAATGGAGCTTGAACCATCTGGTCGTACCGGTAGCTTCTGCCAGTCCGGACAGGCGTTGCGTTGCTTCTACTCCTCTATTCACAGCCTCAACTACTCTCACCAGTGGAAACTGGTGGAAAAGTGCAAGGATGTCCTTAACTGACCGTGGAAGGTGTTGGATACAAATTTGTTTGCAAACCTGGCACCGCATCTACTTAGACTTGCGATCGCCTAGCTGAATATGGCGAAAAAGTTCACAAGACTAGCTCGTCGGCCAGAGCTACATGTACGATGAGGGCTCGATTTATACCGTCATAAGGGTTTGGAGCAGTGTCATCAAGGATGTTAGAGATCTCCTTCGTAATGTTCTCGGGGAGGCTGACAAACATCAAGCTTACCTCGGTCTCCTGGGGTGGAAATCGGGCCCCCACACTGAAAAACCAGGCTGAGGGTCTGTGGGAAACTGGATGGTAACGGCTATTTCCTCCTGGAGTTTTCAGCCCCAGTCATGTTTATGGGTAGAAGACGAAACCAGGTGACAGGTTTGGTGGACATGGGTAAAATATGACATGTGGGCTTAGGGAACACGAAATTATTTGTATAAGACTCTGTTAGGCACTGGCCTTAGAATATACAAATAAATAAATTTATCTATAAAAAGCCTAGGTACCTAATAATGAAGAGATACTTGAGTCATGTTGTTCTGCTGTCGCCTAACACATTAAGCCTTGAATAAATCAACCTGTATTAGTACCTAAAACTTCAGTGCCATCATCAAAAGAAGGATGAGTGAGGAAATTTCCATGTAAAGGTTGTTGGCCAACGGCAAGAACAGAAATCATTCCAGGACTGAGCGCTAGGACGAAGTCAGTGTTGATGGCCGTCACTTGGACTGTACACAGATTGTTTTTGTGCGGAACTGTTTGCCTTTTGAGTAAGTTTGAATAAAGGAGGCATAGTTTTCGTTCTACCTGTCGACGCGATCTGGTGGAGCAGGATTTCTTATAGAACACTGTCAAACGCTTTGGCCAGGTCAGAGAAAGTGATGAGGGATGGTCTTATGTTGTCCCGGGTAAAATTGCAGTCTTCCTAGGCAGTCATCTAGTTTGTAGAACTTAGACAACCGTCCCAAGAGCCATGTGTACCTGTACGGACGGCTTTTTTCCTATTAAGAAACAACCCAGGACCTCGTCTACTAACGGGATTTCCAATACTTAAGACACTATGAGTATGGCTATAGGCGCGGAGGGTCCCAGGCCCTCTTTGTCTCGCACCTAAAAAATGAGTGGCAGGATGGCCAAATCCCATTCTTTAGGAAGTCTGCATTGTCTTGGCAAGTGCCTTAGATCTTTTGATAACCACAATAATAATATATTTCGAATGATGGATTATAAGAAAGCATGCCCTTTTTACAGACACAACCTAACGATCTCAGGTTGCCACAGTCGGGGACTTATCTGGATACGGCCTAGCCAGTTTTTCGGGTGCCTGGATGTTTCTAGACTGCCTGACACATCTTCACTGGGTCATTTTAGGGACTCACTTCATTAGCGAATTGGTTTACTTTTCGACATAAAGCGATACAGGCTCCTTGTGTTAGTTTTTAACCCTCTCACCAGGTTTCACTGGCAGCTAAACCTGTAGCTGTGGACTCTGATTTTGTTCTGGTTACGGACTGCGTTGTACGTGAAAACGTCTGACTATCTGGGTGTAAACGCCACCTGAACCCGCTCTCTGGCCTGATGTACCATCTCTGTTCAGCGTCCTAGCCATTGGGTTCTCACTCACGACCGATTCGTTATGTCTGGCACAGTCTCACTGATGCCACTGAGGGTGATTTCCCTTACTTTTATCCAGTGTTTTTCTATCACAATGTCATAATGCGTCCGTCGGATAGTTCGCCGTGGTCTCATGACTGGCCTGGTTTTGGCAAGAAAACGTATTGATTGTTTCGGGTTGCGGAGTCTGTTTGCTTATCACGGAGAAGCTTTTCACTGTAAGATCGCTATGGTCAAGATGTGGTGGTAAAGTGATCCCTATTCGTCAGAAAACAGTTAAGGTGTGTTGCGGCACAACCAGGTTTCTGATGCTTGACACATTCTTTTTTATCAGGGGAACCAGCCGCCTCACGTGGGCTTTTCGACTTCTGGCTGAAGGATCCAGTAGATTTTCCCCTTTCCTTCATGAAAAGGATGAAGGGCATGTTGGAGTCTCTGGTGCTGATTGCGGAATTTTAATCCACAAAGGCTGCAACCAAGACTATGTTGCCGACCATTCCCTTGTGGCTACGAGTACTGGCAGAAGACCCTCATATAATTAGTAGCGGATATTCGGCACGATGAAGAGTGAAGTAGCAATAAAAGGAGTCCGGATTTCGCGTCAAAGCCCCCTCGATCATCTTTTTGCCCCAAACAGGAGGTCACGTGGAGAGCCACCCCTTGTTCTTCTGAGCCGTCTGTCTCCGTCGAAGAACTCAGTGCCCACGATATTCATGTCTCCACCAGAAATGACCTGTAAAAGACATGATCCTGTCACAGATATGAAATCTATAATCCCCTCCACCGGCAAAGTCATCAGTCATTGACCTTAACCATTTTTTTGAGTTATCGATTCAGTTGGCTGTGGTGGTTTGAAACATAATACAAGCGTGGTGACGGCATTGCAAGTACAACATTTTAACGGAAATGAGCATCGGGTCAGCCTCTGTTATTAGTACTGTCGTCTTCAATTTTCAGTGTGAACGACAGTAGGCTATTAGCCTGTGCCAATTCCTGCTTCAATGTCGTCAATAAAGATCAAGCCTCTCTTCGGTGGCGATGACCAAAGGAAGTAAAAAATTTCAGTAAACAAGCGCTTTGACCGTTATTTTAAAATGCGGGTCATTTTTCGTCGGATAAGAATGAATAATTGTTTGGTCCTATCAGTAGCTCTTCATATGGGCGGTGGGTAAGACGTATCACCAGGTTATTGCCAACTCTTTGGACGTATTCTAGTGCGCATTCCAGCGCGGGCTAGTTGCCTGGATACAATACTCTGAATGTAGTCTTATCTAAGTGGTGCGTGGGGTCCTTAATATCCGTTCATCAATGTATTCGAGTGCTCTACGGGTCAAAAAGCATGGAAGTGGGTTTTGGTGCCTAAACGTCGCAATTTTTAGTCATCTTTATGCCGTGACCAGCAGTAACTCTTAAGTCATTCTGGTTCAGAACCTGAGGTATTGGCCTCCCATTCAAAGAGTATTCACCATAAAAGTCACTCCTAACGCACATGACCCCGCTTTTACTGCACTTGATTTTCGGACCCAATCTCCGTCCGACCAGTCCAGCAGTATCAGACTGCACCTCAGGTCGGTCATCATTTTCATCAAGAAAAACCCCTATATATCACCTCCAAGTAGCGTCATCGGTGTTTCATCATAGTAAAGAAGGATGGCGCCCCGAGGGACACCGGTGGTGACAAATCGCTCTTCAGGCAGAGGTTCGTCTAGTCCTTACCCTCGTCAACTCCTGCGTAAGGACTCCATAATCCGGCCAGTATCGAACCCCCAAGGCTTCTTCACCGAGCGCGTGTTTGGCACCTTTGGAAGTCGTGCAAAAGTCGGCTAACACCATACCCGAGGGGACTTTTTTGGCTTTAATCCCAATCAAGACCTCCCTCACTAGTATAAGTCTGTCAACCAAGAATATCCATACTGGCAGCAGCGTTGCTCCTGTTCAAATAGGCCATGTGATTCCAAAATTCCAGTATTTCTTCTCACGATCTTCTTCAGCATCTGAACCACGATGCCAATGAGAATGACAGTTTGGACCTTGGTGACTACTTGTCACGTGTCTCCTCTAAACACAGAACTTATTGCAGCGTCCCTCCAATCCCCAAGTGACTATGCATGAGACAGGAACCCAATGAGCAGCAAAAGTTAAGGGTGCATCGAAAATTTCAGCCATTAGGAGACAAATGCTAGAATGCACTCCGTTGGAACCAAGGTGAGTTTCCATGCTTTATGCTTCTGAGAAGTCGCAAAACCACCCATTTGAGGTTTTCAGCTGTTTCCATTAGGGAAGGTTAGGGGCCGTTCTGCCTCCGGAATGCCATTAAAACTGTCGGCAGAAAACGCCGGGACAAAATAATTGAACAAGTTACCGGCCCAAGTCAGATTCGACTCCGTTACATCTCTCTCCTCACCATGGGTCCCCATTTTTTCTAGTTCTTCCCCTGATAAGAGATAAGCGTTCGGAACACTTTAAACTAACTACGTTTTACATGCCTTGCGACGCATATTGACGACATATCTGCACTAATATCTAGCATTAAAGCACCCCACCTCACACCTGATTGCCCATCGCCATTATTGCCTCCT